CTAACAATAACCATTCAGAGGATGGCAGGTGTGGCATAAATAGATGATGAAATTGAAATAAAAATATTACTGATTATCTAAGATGACAGAATAGTTTGATGCATCCCCATGGTCATAAAGATTAGCAAACAACTGCTGGTGTAAGGAATGTATTGTTTTCTGTGCTAACTGGAATTTAAGACAAATTTTTTTTCATATATCACGTTTAAACCGTTAGTTTTATCTACATGATATTATCGGATTTACTACCATATGCTTAATATATTGTTTTGTCTACTAACTTGGAATTTACAGCACTAAAAATCACGTTTAGGATGAGCCGAGCTTGGCGAATAACAAACTACGACATATATTATCTTGTAAAATTTACCCCATAAAATTGATTTATTCTCATATTTAGATGACAATAACAATAATAAAAATAAAAGCATACTAATATCTATAAGCACATTTCGTGTACAAAGAGCATTCACCCCTCCCGCCATATTTTCTTCCTTTCATCCCGAACTGACGAAACGTGAACCGGCATCTATCTACAAAAACTTCTTTAATTATACGAAAATATTTCTATCTATTCGTTGTTAAAAAAATTCAGAAAAAATAACGTTTACGATTAGCCGCAAGCTTGGCGAGTAAAAATGCAACAGCAACAATGGGTTCTCTGCGGTTGAAAACCCAGTTAAATTGTTAATTTTTCTGTACTGTGTTATAAAATTAATTTAATTTCCAATGTCTTTCTAACTGTGATTTTGAGTTAATGATTGGACATCATCTCCAGTAAATCGGATGTCGACTGTATTCTTAACTGTTGATTTTTAAGGTCCAATGCTTAATGCTTTCACTCCCAGAAGAATTCAAACATTATCATAAATTATAAAGAATGTAATAAAAAGTTAAAACTCATGTGTATAGAAGCATGGCAAATTATTAAAAAAATTCCTTGCAACACTGCAGAGGTTTAGAATTTAAATTTTTAGCATACCTTCTTCTGGATATGACAGACCAATTGATGTCATGTATTCTTTAGAGCTGTTAGCATCCCATATGTGCACACCTTTTTCTTTTAAAATATTGGCATTAGTGCTTCCAGAAATAAACCACAGAAGTTCTTCGCATATGCCTCTCCAAAAAACTTTTTTGGTTGTAAGCAATGGAAAAGTGTCTGTAAAGAAAGAAAAATACAAAAGAAAAAGACTTCATGAAGAAAAAGAAAGCTGAATTTAAAACCAGGCATAAAAGCAACAGTAATCTTTTGTTAGCAAAATCGAATTCAGATGTGTATGTATGTACATGCTTATGTATGCATGTCTTCACGTACATATTACATATGTATATATGTCTATACATACGTACATTTCTGAACTAGGCCCCCAATAACAGAAGAGTGGCAAAGCAATCTTTCTTTGGTGCATATTTTGAATAAAACTTTCCCGATTTCGAGGTGATCAGATGCAGGTCTTTCTTCTTCAGGAGGCATTTTCTTCTGAGGGCATCCATGTCTGATTGCTCTCAAAATCAATAGAGTTTTATTTAAAATCTATGCCAAACTAAAATTTCTTCATTGTCTAAGTTTCTATTTTATATTGCCATATTTTTCTTCATGCCACGTTCTGAAGATGAGTAAAATTCATAACAAATTCTGACTTAAAGCGACAATTTATGCATAGTAAAAGTGCATAATGAAAATTATTTCTGTGGATATTATCTTCTCATTTTCATGTCAGGTTTTTATAAGTTTTTTTTTTTTTTTTTTTAACAATTAAATGAGAAAATGTAATACATATAACATAAATATCAGCAGAAAGCTAGCAAAACTCCTATATGGTGTACTGTATTATGAATCAGAACAAAATCCATTGTTAAATTTTGTCAATAAAATATATAAAACATTTTTATAAAAAGGTCAGAAAAATTTAATACCTATTTAACTTTTACATACTCCATAGTAATGAAATTAAGCACCAAAAAAAAAAAAAAAAAAAAAAAAACCTTAACTGTGCGCAGATTTTATACATATTCACCAATCTAATTTTGTTATACCTAATTTTATGTTTTACAATATTACTGTATACTATATCTTAATGTAACAAGTTTGTTAATATAAAATATCAATAAACAAACACATACCATTTCTTAAACTAAAGCGAGCTTGACACCCAAAATATGATTTGGTACCGGTACCAGTACGATCTTCTTTCACACGACCGTGATTTAGAATCAGACGAATCAAATCTAGGTACTGGTATTCATCATGCCTAAATAAAATACAAGCAATTTTATTCGTTATTACATTTGTTTTCAATAAGACAATAATATTGATAAATAAATAAAAGAATAATATTCATTTTCTAAAATTACCGTTTATCATCACCCATTTTATAAAAAGCACTCGACTGAAATAAAGACTACAATATTCAAAAGGGAAAACGAATCGACAAACCCGCCAAAACGAGTAACTGCTTTTTGGCGCCAAAATTATTTTCGATTGACAGATAGACAAAATAGACGCATGCCTTGTTTAGCGGTGTTAGCGCTTCTATTGCATGGGAAACTGTTTTGCGAACTGCGTTCAATTGAATCATTTGGGTAAAATGATGCGCTAGATATTATGCAGATTTTTGCATCTGCTCCTTTATTTTTAACACGTACTAAAATTTTAATATTAGAGCGTTTTCAAGTCAGTTTTTCTATTCCAGTATTATAACGCTTTCAGATGAAGAAATTCATATTCAGTATCAACAGGCTAAATGGTTTCATTTAGATGCAAAATTCAGTCTTTGTGTTCTGAATTTTGAATGTAGGTGCTGCTTCGAGACAAATTAATTATCGTGAGGACTAGTCAAAATAGACAGTTGAAAAAGAATCGAATGTCTGCATTTCTCTCCATCGAGGACATATCTGGACTAATAATTTGGACTTGTTAAAAAAAGGTGTTCCTTAAAAATTTGAATGTGAACTTGAGAACATAGAACTGTTTAAATATTTTAGTTCTCAATACATATTTTTTTTTTTTTTTTTTTTTTAAATATGTGTGACATTTACGTCGGGAACTATCCGAATACGTATACCGCAGATGACGTGTTAGAGCTTTTTGATGATTTTGAAGGTATTGTGTTACAACGTTACGTTAAGATAGGCCAGAAGTGCTATTCTTTTTTGACATGCGTCGACGAATCTCAGTTATTAGATGTAGTCACATCAATGCACAACTTAATCGTAGATGGACGAAATCTGATTGTGAGGGCTAAAGATCAGGATCTACAAGAAATCATTGAGGAGGCTTTGGAAGAGGAAGGTGCTGCTCTTCCTATTCGTTTGCACGAGAAGAAACCGGTGAACCGAGGTGCATCTCAGTTGAAAGTAAACAAAACAAAATTCCAAGATAAATCTGTTAAAACGAAGAATGGAAGATATTTAAATGGTTGTGGTAATTCTTTGAATAAGGATCACCAAATTCAAAAGCTGTCAAGCTCAAAAATTTATGGCAGTGTTGAGACTATATCTTCAGGATCAAATACATCTGCAAAACAAAGTAATATATCAAGGGATGATAAAGCTACTAGGCGAGCTTTCAGTTATGTATCTGTTTTAAACTTTCCTCTAGGAACCAGTATTCAAGATCTTTATAAGCTGTTTTCAGATTTTGATCCTGTGGAAATAATAATGATATGTAATGAACCTCGTATGGACAGAACTCTTACTGAAGCTGTCGTATGCCTTTCCAGCGAAGATGCTGCTGCAAATGCTATTCTGACTTTAGATAATACTTTGTACCGTAGAAGAATTATATTAGTTAATGATTTCAAAGATTTTTCACTAATTCCAGACTTGTTAAATGTACTTGGAAAATAATTGCTGTATTTTCCTGTAACTGTGTTTTGAGAATGTAATAGTTTTTTTTAAGCAATCATGTGCCTGCTGTTAATCAAATGCAAATTCAAATTCATTATAGATTAGTTTGGCATAATATTCAGCATATTCTATTGAATTTAAGTTACGTATTTGTAGCTGAAAGAGAGGTTTTCATAAATTTTTTCAAGATTTCCTTATTTGTTTAGCAAAAAAAGTATATTATTTTGCTTTCAAATCAGTATAATCATTTTTGATGCACAGAGTGCTTTGAGTAGTTTTTTATCTGGCAGTGCAAAAGTTTTGTTTTTGAGCCTCACATTGGGAAGAAATAATGAGAAAACAATTTAGGGGGAATCATTATATATAAATAATCTTTGATCACCTAAGTATTATATACTATTCTTCACGTATATGCATAAACGAATACATATTTTGTTTTAACTCCCTGAGTATCACAACTTTTGAATCTCCTTATGAGGAACTGTATTTAAACATAACTTATTAGATAAATTTGCATAATTAGTTACTTTAGTCTATGTTTTGTAAACTTGCTTGGTTAAAGTTTACAATTGGGTGCCCCTTGTTTATTGGCGATTCTTTTTTGACGTGCCCCTTGTTTATTGGCGATTCTTTTTTGACGCCAAGATCAGCACCAGGAGGACAATGAAAGATGGCGCTAACAAATAAAATAAGAGTCAAAGAATTGCCCAAGAGCGTGTCCAGTACACATCGAGCTGTTTTTTTTTAAAAAAACATCCTAGAATTGCCACAACCTAGGCATTGCGCATGCTTAAATATGTCCATGTATAATCAATCATTTCATTAAAAAAATCGGGAGCTAAAACAAAACAAAATTAAAACTATCATGCCCAAGTTGAGGTTTCATCGAAGGGGCACCCAATTCTAGACTAGAGCCAAAGACAGTAAAATTAAATTAACCATGTGACTTGCACAACTTTATTTGGTCATGAGATATTTTTTGTTATTTGGCATATATTACCTTAAATTTAAAATATGTTTTCTTATTTACTTTAATAATATCAATAGTATTTTAATGAATGGAAATTTATGATCCTAATATACAGCCTTTGAGCAATTTTGAAAATTGTCACAAAGACCAAAATTACTCGTTTACAGCTCATAACGTCGCCAAATCCGATGCGTACCATAAACCCTGTCTTTCATTTCAGCAAGTTTGTTAGCATAATATTGTGATTACAATGTCTTTAGCAATATGTATTCAGTTGATTGTAAGTAAATATGGTACTCTTCTGTTATCAGGACCGTATTAAAAATGGATGAATGTGTTTATGTGTGCATACATACATGCATTTCTGTATCTGGTCCTTTTAAAAGAAGAGTACTGTAAATGTTTTTAAACTGTTAAAAAACTCTTTCACAGGAATCATTGCAAATAAAAAAAAAACTATTTAGATACAAGCAGTGATGTTCAGATACTACTTAGTTAATCTAGAATCAAACGCTAGGCTTTGAGTTGCATTTTTTATATTTTGTGCAAGTGTTGAGGTTTCAAAAACTGCACTTAATATATGATGCAAAATGTATTTACTCTTTTTCTTGTCTGTCCCTTTTAAAAGCCTTTTTCTATCCAAGCCATATGCCTAGCTGATATCCAAAGCGAATGAACAACAATTTTTATTTTATTTAGCTCCAATGGCCAGTTTTTCCAGGAAATGTTTCCTTTTACTAAATCTATTTAAGACTGTCTGTGTATTAGTAATGCATTTATCAATAAGTTTTTCTTGTTCATATTAAGATTCCTGGTTATTCCTGTCTTGTTTTGTAACAATAGTATAATTTAAATTTATTTCTTCTAAGTAATGAAATAGATAAGACTTCTTTTCTTCTAAAATAATATGTTGTATTTTTAAAAACAATGGAAAAGAAAAAAAAAATTAATTATAATTTATAAGATTTATTATTTTAACTTCGTCAAATCAGTGCTGAATTAACCGATAGACAAATAGCTGGTGCTCGTAATTCATAATTTAATAAAATTAGATTTAGTGTTATATGCTGTGCCGGTCTATAGTTTCCACCAGTTTCTAGCTAGCCTGTTTGCAACTACAGCTACTGTTGTAACAAGTAATACAAATAATTTTTCATGTATTCGCCGATTTGCTTTTTTATCAGGATCTCTCATAATATCACATAGGAGCTGTCAACATAGTTAGAATTTTTTAAAAAATTATAAAATTAAAAAAGACAAGAAAGATGCTTGATCTAAGACACTCTGTGTAGATTATGAAACTATTGATGAGGTTTCTGACATGAAAATATGAAAAGGAAAAATTTTTAAGTCTGATTAAGGAAAATAATTATATATGTTTTTTTGGTAAAATCCTAGTATACGGTGCAGCCTTGGCGCGATTTTGAAAATTATCGCCAACACCAAAAATGATCCAAAGAACGTCTATATACTATACACTATGTGTGTAAATACATGGTAAAAGTTTACAATTGGGTGCCCCTTGTTTTTTGGAGATTCTTTTTTGACGGCAAGAAGATCGGCGTCAGGAAGACACAATTTAAAATGGCCGCTACACAAAAACCAAAATAAAAGCAAAGAATTGCATAAACTGTGTGTCCATGTACACATCGATCTTTTTTCACTTAAAAAAACATCCCAGAATTGCACAAACTAGGCATTGCGCACTGTTTAAATTGTCCGTGTACACATCAATCTATTTTTATTTTAAAAAAATCAGGTTAAAAGCAAAGTTACACTATCATGGTAACCAGAAATACGATTTCATCGCCAAAATTTTACAAAAAATTGTCGCTAATCGAAGGGGCACCCAATTCTACACTAAGAGCCCAAATACAATAATATATACTATATATAACTATATATATTTTTTGAATGACCCGTTTACTACTCATCGTTTATGTCCCGTTTTTACTGCTCATCATAAAGTCGCCAAAAGCAGCCAAATCCCGTGTGCACCGGATACTAGGATTAAACCGTTTTTTTTTATCAGAAATTCATTCATTATTTTCATTTAGTAATGCTTTTATCTTTATTATCTCTGTTATTAAATAATGAAGAATCTCTACATATATTTGTATGTTCCTCATATTGTGAAAAAAATGACAGCACATAGAACCGCTAAATTTAGAATACACATAGTCCTTTTTTTTTTAACGGGCATTTTTAAAGCCTAAATTTTGAACTTTTTAAAAATGTTTTCATATTTTTTTTTATGAAATTTTGATTAATGAACTCAGCAATTTGAAAGCAAGCACTATTCAAAACAAAACATTTTTATCTCCATCATGCCAGACTGTTGCCATTTGACAATTGAAATGTCAAAATTGTTGTTTAAAATCAAAAGATATTTATCTTTATGTATATATATATCTTTTAATTTTAATCAGCAAACTCAACTATTTAAAAGCTTAGTGCTCCACTGCCTGAAATAAAATACTATTTATCTTCCACATGTCAGTATGTAAAGCATAAGATATTTAACATTCAAATTTTAATCTTATCTGTTATTGATTAACAAACCAACGGATTTAAGAGCAATAAACACTGTTCTTAAAAATATTTTTTTCTTCTTTTTATCTGATTGATATAGATAAGAATACCATTAAATTAGGTGATATCTGATTAAAAATATTAAATATTTTTATGAGATTAACTGGATTCATTAAATTCAGTATATATTTCAGTTTTATAACCATTTTGAACAGCCGGTTAATAAAAATTTTAAGTGACAGTATTTAAAATTTAATTTGAAGTACCTTATGTAAATGGAGCCACACTTTAAATTTCATCAAGGGCCCGTGGCATTTGGTTGACTATTGCATGTGAAGATGATTTTTAGCTTGTAATCTGTTGATGTCTTTTGATTGGAGCTATGGTGATTTTAGTAACGGTCATGCTCTTCACTTTATAAAAACAAAAGATGAAATTTTAATTAAATGATTTATGTATTCCAAACCAGAAAATGCAGTGCATTGAGAAAAAAACATTAAAAATAAAAACTATTTAAAAATGGTAAAATATTTCAGAAATTACATAAAATATTAATTAATAAATTTAGTCATGTGCTGCAATTTATTTTCTTCTTCATTAATGAATATTTAGGACACATGATTTTTTAAAATAGTTTTTGGATAAAGTAAGAGTTAAATTCTCATAAAAGGTTTCCCACATAAGAACATTATAATTAAATATGAAATACATTGTATGGTCAAAGATTTTCTTGTATGTTTCATTTTTTTAATGGAAAACTAGACAGTGGGACTTTATCCCATTGTCTTGATATTTAAACAATTTGATACCCATTCCCATTGCCAAGCCCATTTTAAAAGGATTAATTTAAATTGTAGGCTATCTAAGAACTTAAGTCAGTTCTCAAGAAAAGAAGGACTAACATTAGCATGATTATAACTTGCGAGACATGTTTTTCATGGAAAACATAAACAAGCAAAAAGAATAAGAGGCTGAAAATTTAATAAAAATTAGAAGCTTGTGTGAGTTTCTTAAAATTAGAAGCTGCTTGCAATATAGCTTCAGGATTAACTTGCTTTTAAATTCTTCAGAAGTAAAAAAATTTGCATTATACTGAATTTTTTCATTTCCTGTGCACTGTAATATGAAAGTTGTCAAAGTGTGATTAATGGTATTTAATCTTAAAATTTCACTTTTTTTTTAAACTTCTGTGAAAGTTTTTTTTTTTTTTTTTTACCTCAGTGATATGTTTTTGATTATCTATAGCCCCATAAAGAGATTGGAAAAAAGCTTTGGTTTGACTTATCATTATGCTCACAGGCACTAAGAAGCATTTTTTAAAAGTAAGAAATTTTATGAGAAAATAAAAAAATGATCTATACGGCTAATATATGTACATTTTTACAGCAGTATTAGTTGTTCAATAAAATATTGATTATATATAAAATGCTTAATTCATGATTATATATAAATGCTGTTACCTTATAGTATGTTTGAAAATATGTCAGAAACATGGCTACTGTTATGTCGAAAATGAAGGTACAGATAATAAGAAAATACCTTATGAATTTTTTGTTAATAACTATAAAAAAATGGTCAGATGGCATTCTTGAGTTTTCCGTAAAGTATTGTTAAGAAATATTGTTGTTATTGATATAGTTGACTCAAAAATTGAAGAAAAATATTTTTCAATACTGAAAATACTTTTACTATCAATACTGAAAATTTTTAAAAATGTGCAAACTAATTTTGATAGAAAGAAGCTAATTTCATAATGTAGTAGTATAAAGTGTTTTAAAAAGTTAGTTACATACTACACATTAGAGAGTTTGATTTCCACGACTTTCGAGTTGCAATCGTATGAGTGGCACAACTGTGCTCATGAGATTTATTTTTATTTCATATGTATTGATTTGCTATTTACACAGTTTTGTTTTCCCATTTCCTTCAGCAATATAACTGTCATTTTAGTGAATGTAAAATTATGAAAACAAATATTAAAATTACAAAATGCTGTGATAGTTTGCTGTGATTTTATGAAACAAATCAAATAACTTGAGCTTAGTATTGTTGTCTTTTATTCATCTGCCAGATAGTAATAAAGAAAGCTTTGTTTTACTTGAATTCATGCTAAGGAAAATGTTTAAAGGAGTGTTAAAAATTGACTTACGTTTTGTAGTAATTTTTT